TTGGGGCTTATGGCTTCCTTAGAAGTTGCCCGTTAATTTATTTAGTTTGGGGCTTACGACTCCAATTAGGAGTTGCCCGGGGATTTAATTTGGTTTGGGACTTACGACTTTCGTAGAAAGTAGCCTAAGATTTTTATTTAGAATGGGGCTTACTGCTCTATTTATGAGTTGCCCAGATAGTTTGTTTAGTTTGGGGCTTATGGATAATTAGGAGTTGCCCGGATAGTTTTCTTAGTTTGGGGCTTACAGCTCCAATTAGGAGTTGCCCGGAGAATTTTGGTTGAATAGGTCTTATGGCTTCCTTAGAAGTTGCCTAACGGTGGGTCTTATGACCTAGCCCTGTAAGCTAAGAGGCCCGAGTTGTGGGTCTTACAACCAAGTCCTATAGACTAGGATGCCCAAGAATTTTAATTATTTGGGTAGGACTTATGGCTTCCCTTAGGAAGTAGCCCGAAAAATGGGTCTTACAACTTAATCGTTTAGACTAAGATGCCCTTAGGTTTAAATTTTGATTGTTTAGGGTTTAGGATCATTACTATTTATTTTTACAATTTTTTCTAAAATGTGGGGGCTTACGACTTCAGGTAGAAGTTGCCCGATAGCGGGTCTTACAACCTAATCCTATAGATTAGGATGCCCAGGTGAGGGGTCTAGATTTGTATTATCACCTAAACACTTCTCTCATATGTCGGACTTACGACTTCTATTAGAAGTGGCCGGGGTTTTAATTGGGGGTTAGGAGTTAGGTCAATTTCTACCTAAAATTTTCCCCTAAGGTTGGGCTTATGGCTTTCCTACGAAAGTTACCCGGTAGCGGGTCTTACAACCAAGTCCTTATAAACAAGGCTGCCCAAAGATTTTGAATTTGACTGTTTGTTTGTAGGTATTCGTAGCCATTGGTTGCAGTAGTTGAGGCTTATAGTTGCAAAAGATAGAGCCCACAAGTAGCAATAGAAGCTTGTACGAGAGAGCTTTAGAGAGCAGTTTGTAGAGTTCAGTTTGAGAATTTTGATAGAGTAATTTGTACAAAAGATTTGAGGAGTTGACAATCAAAGTAGTACATGTCATTTAGTGGAAACTTCCCTTCCTCCCTCTTCCATTTTGATTCATTGCATTTGTTTTATAATTGTTCTAATTAACTATTAAATTTTAGTATTCTCGAATCTGAATTGATAGCACTTGTACAAACCATTCTAAAACTTTTTTGTAAAAACATGATCTCACATTTTAAAATTTTCGTATCCAGAATTTTCATGTAAAATGCTCACATATTTTTAAATTTTTTTTTATTTCAAATTCTCTCAGATTTAAGAACTTTCAAATTTTAAAACAGTTCTCAAATTTTAAAACTTGATTTGATTTTGATTTGATTTTTTTAGCAATTAATTAATTTAAATTAACTTTGATTAATCAAATTTTTATTTAATTAATCAAAGATTTAAATTTAATTGCTCGCCCTATAATTTTTTCAAAAAAAAGTTCAATAATTTTCTCGAAATTTCGGCAGCCTCCCGGCGTCACCTCCCCACCGAGGGAGAAATCGGGACGGCTCTGCCGTAATTCTTCCTACCCGGACCTAAAGTCGACGACGTAGGGTCTTCGACTTCAAACCATCTCACCAGGATCTAAGATCGACTGTGTGAGGTCTTCAAATTGTAAAACCATCCGCCCAGATCTAAGATCGATGGTGCGGGTCTTCAATTTTAAAATCATCTGCCCGGATTAAAAATCAACGGCGCAGGTCTTCGATTTCAAACCATCCCGGTCGGATCTAAGATCGACGACCGGGGTCTTCGACATTTGTTTGAAAATTCCTTACATTTCCCTACTTTTTTTTTTAATTATATATTGTATTATAATAAAAAAAATATATATATCATGATATATATTTATTATAATATAATACAATAATATTATATTTTAATATTATTATGTTATATTAATATAATATAATATAGTATTATATTATATTGTTATATTATACTGTTAATATAATATAACTTTTATATATTATTATATATATATTATATAATATATATAATAACATACTAATATAACAGAGAGGGAGAGAGGCATGTATCGGGCTAGGGCAGAGCCAAATCCGGTGGAAACGACTATGTCTTGTTCTGCTGACAATTTGACTTGATAGAAGAATTTTCCTAAAAGATTTGAGAGCCTCTTATGCGATTGAGATGAAGAATTTGAAGGTGATATTTAAATGAAACTTGAAACTATAAGTTAAAGGGTGTACTCATATTACAAAGATGAAAATGTAAGAGAAAATTATTTTGAGGAAGGTTAAAGACTACTGTCATTGCCACCTCAATCTTCTTCTTAATGAAGTTGTGTTTGATTAATAAATTCTAGAAGTTGAAAATAATCAAGTCAAAGGACTAGTTCTCCAAAACTTACATTCACATCTAACTATATGGCATCTACATATAGAGATGGGTCAGAGAATATGTGAAATATACATGAGTCATTCTATTGGCCATCAACTATGTTTTAAGCTCCAACATGACACTAAAGTATACTACAATTCACCTATAAGAAGGAATAGGGAATTCGTAGTGCCTACAACAACTAGTTTGCAAGCAAGGATAAAGAACTTGTATCAAATAAATTAGTCTATTTATGGGAGAGAATATGAGAGCATATAACAAATAATATAATTCTCCTACGAACACTATTACGATCTCCTAATGCCTATTGAACAAGCATTCCCTGTAAGCTATGTTAAGTGGGACAATAACGACAAAAAGATATCTTTTATGTATTACAAATGAAGCCTAATTTAAAGTGACGCCACCGGATCCGCAACATATTTGCAAGCGGACAGAAGGCGTTCGTAGGCCCTTAAATGAAATTTTGGGCATTTTCTAAATAAAATCTTTTGATCAAATGGATCATATTTAAATATTTTAAAACGCCCCTTATGTATTAAATACGATCCCTTAAACTAAATAAATCCCTGCATGTGCTCCGGTTAACATGTTAAAAGCATAAATACTAATGACCGAGAATGCTGCACAGGGTCAAATACTACAACCCGCATGTGCTCCGATCGTTATATCTAAGTCCCAAATTCAACGATTCGATAATGCTACGCAGGCCAAATATTCAAGTTTCATCCTCCTCCTTGAAAAGACCGGAGTTGACATAACTTGAATAACAAAATGTCTCCCAAAATCCTATGAAAATACAAATGATTTTAAAATCACCCCGATGATGGCCGTGTTGATCGAAAATCTCAACCGAAGGGGTCAAATTTCAAATCTCAAATGTTAAATTTCAAATCTAAAATGTCAAATCTCAAATCAAATAACAATTCAAATTCTTGAAATAAAGTTAATCACCTATAAAAAATTCAAAACTAAAAAAAATCATCCTCCTCCCGCAACCATTTGTCGGGGGCGATAAATTTGAACCTCAGCTCATAAAGAGCGAATGCATGTCGGGTGTATCACTACGATTCATCCTCAAATAGTCTCTTGCCAACAGGGACATGGCACGTGCCCTCTGATTGGGTGGTTTTGCCGCAAAATGGCACCATTATATTACGATCACGGCCAAAGCCCGTATGTTCCCTAAAGGCGTCAAACCCTTGAGTTATGAATCATAGGGTATATCTGATAGGCATAAGCCTTCTGTTAGCTAAGGTGGATTCATATATATCCCCTTAGACAAACATCAACCCAGGTCTACGAGGTATTCTTGGACGAAGCAACCCATGGCTGCCGACAAGGTGCCTTCTATCAGGTTGGGTAGACTACCTCCTCTGACTAAGTAGACCAGGGATCATGACAGCCCGGGACGACGGAACCATGGGATCTTAATCGGGCTCGTCTTCATTACCCCCATCACCAATTTTAAGTTTATGGTGATAAACTCTAAATTCCAAACTTTAAAATTCAAATCCAAAATTTAAACCCTAAATTATTGCTGTTATATGATAGGTTCATAACCTATGTGAACGCTTGAACGACTAGCCTTAATCGAAAGTTCTCTCTCGTTATCGGGAGGGGTAATTAACTATAGGGGCTTGCGCCTATAGGAAACCAGAACTCAGATCAAAAAGTCCTTACTAAATGAGGGCGAAATCTCTGGGTAGTGTCTTATCCAAAACCCAATCTGCCTTCCGAAAATTCCTCCGGAACCTAATCTCGTTAAAACTCTCTATCGTCGTCGTCACATAAACACTTAAAAATAAAGACTGATGACGTAGAGAGGCCGGGATCACACACACCAAAAATGGAATTTTTCGGAGCCCACAATCAGATAAAAAATTTAATGCGACATCAACATTCATAAAACTGAAAAAAAAAATAAATAAATAAAAAAACACATAAACAAAAAACAAGCATTTCATAATCTGACTGTAGAATAAAGTCTTCAAAGAGCCTTTCCCAACACCACTACTCAAGGAAAAATTTCACATACTTCAAATAGAAAAAAAAAATCACAAAATGATTCTTTTTAAATTGGACATATAAAATACAACAAATCAAGAAAACACTCTTTTGCACATATAAAAATATATAGCTATTACAGATTCATTCAGAAACATTAAAAAACGACCTGTGGGAATGACCTTGACCATCTTGTTTTCCTTTTTGACACCCTCATAGTATTGGTATGGCTGGATAGAAATGCTTAAAGCTCAGACATCTGATTTGATTGCCGAAGGCAGGGACTCACCTTGAAGTCAGGCTAAACCTTGCTAGTTAGGTGCACGAAAGTGAAAATATATTTCTAGCAATGCTCCTGACTCATGAAAGTATCAAACATGCACCACAATTAATAGGGTAAGAAAAAAAAAACAACAAAATGCGATTTCGAATGATGATTGAGCGTGTTTTTCATTTGTTATTAAATTTAGATAAAATGGTTAACAAAAGCTATAAGCCCGTCTTAAAAAGCAACATACATAATATTAAACCCATCACTGCAAGACACGTAATAAAGCAGTCATGCGAAAAATTCCTCGTAAGTATCTTTGGTAGCCATCAAATAAAACTAGCCAAGTTAAATTAAATTATCAGTATTTCTTCAAATTTCGAGTAAAAATACAATATACAACATATTTGCAATAACACCCTAACCCCCCACCCCAACCACCACCACCAAGTGCATGGAAAGTTGCCTCCTATTATTTCACAGATATATTCTTTCTTTTTTCTCAGTATATGAACAAATCAAACGAGTTATTTACAGTACTGCACAATCATTTCTCCGAAGTATCCTTCCCATAAGAATGTCAGATTAAGAATTCAAAGATACTTCCTTGCTACTTATCTCTTAGATTGTATGGTGTCGTCAAGAATTTTCACGCAGCATAAACTGAAGGCTCTACTTTGTAGCTCAAGAGGTAATTCCCTCAGCATATCTGCTATAGCAAAATCATGTCTTTCTCTAAGATCATGAATTTCCTTACGTTGCTTAACCAAAAGTTCCTTTAATTTGAGCATAACAGACTCAAGAGCTTTGGATCCATTCTCTGACAGCATATCGGTATCATTATTTAAAAATGCCTCCATTTGGTTGTCATTTGAATCGGAGATAGTAGATTGCTCAATAAGTTTCTGGACAACCAGATTATTGGAGTGACGACTCCATGGTCCTTGATTTTTACCTCGGCAGCTGATAATGGAATGCCTCGAGTCTATTTCCTGACCAACTAAAGCAAAACCAGGAGAAAAATCATCCTTTCGTTCATGCGAATGCAAATTGTTTTCCTTTTCCAAAACATCATCACAGTAGCATGAATTTAACTCCAGGTTTTGTCCACAAGGAGAATTGCTACTTGATCCCTTAGGAGAATTAGACCAGTATTTTCTTCCAGAAGGTAGCTGCTCCAAAACTAGATTGCCAAAAGAATGGTAATCATTGTGCAGAGTATGAATATTAGCTTCAGCTTTAAAATCATCTTTTCTTGATGGAGTCTCATTGTCATGATCTTCATCAAGAGCTCCTGGGACCCAGTCAGGAAAATGAACTTGTATTTCTGTATCAATCATATTAGCAATTGTGCTTACATCTTGATCAGTAAGGTCTAACTCTGCCACCATTTCAGCAGCAACACTTACAGATGTGTCCGCTTCAATATCAAATGGAAAGTGGATATTATGAACTTGACCTGGCAGCACACGTTTTACCTTATTAAGACTAAACAAAAATTTAAATGACAAAATAAGTAGCTGCAAAAAAACCTGTAGAATCCGCTATCCGTAGTTTCAAAAAAAGAGTGTTAATATCCTTTCTTTGACCTTCAACCGTGCAGTCTATCCCACTTGTAGATGGTTCTATCCTTATGGCATCTGTGTCAACAATCATGCCTTATGAAGTCAAAAACAAGATTAAGAACCACATGAACTAAACACCTTCAGAGATATCTTCATATTATTTCTAAAAAATTAAAACATTCTGAGCAGAGAGAAAGAAGGAACTTGACAAGATGATTTTACCAGAACCGTTATGATCTAATGGTATGGCATGACATAAGATATCATTCTCAGAATCCGTTTGAAGAAAGGGATCCCTCAACAATTCTCCAGCTGACATCCTTTCAGAAGCATTAGCAATACATTTTTCTATGAATTGCCTAATCCCTGGGTCCTTTACCTTGGCCAATGACGCAGGCTTGATCCCCTTCAGGAGAAAAAGAGAATGCCTCATTAAATAAAAAAGACTATGTTGTCGTATATTATGTATGTAGAAGCCCGGGTAAAAATATGGATGAGGGCATTTGAGAAAGGATATTTTTTTTAAGGAAATAAATAAACGGAAGAAAACTCAGCAACAAAATAGCTCCATTACTTCCCTTCGGGAGAATTTTGTTCTCATACGACAGGGCAAAGGAAACAAACATATTAGTGAAGGAAAAAATTTAACATAGGATAACCTAAAAAAAAACATCACCATGGATGACTTCTTTCAGCAAGCTAACATAATAGGATTGCAGAAATTATGACTAATTGCTAGGTTAACAAACATAAGTTGATATTAAGTTATTAACTTACAGATGTAGGACAATTACCCTGCATAATGCTTCATAGAAAGAAGTTCCAAAGAACAACCTGGTTAAAAGGCATACCGTACTGCTAAGGTGAAAGAAAGCTGGTTAACCACACACCATTTTGGATTTCAATATGCTTTCTACTATTAATAAGGGGCACAGACCAACATCATAAATCCTTTAATGCTTGACACGTGTACCAGTAAATATACTAGTTAAATTGGATGTATTTACATTGCTTCCGTAATTTCCCAACAATGTGAGCAATACAGAGATTAGTGAGAGAGCAAAAAATGAATTATATTCAAAACAATTCCATGTTGCGTCCACGTCCCTACTACACACAGGAGTCCTATGAAGCAGAAACGCAAACTTAAATTGTTAAAAATACCAAAACTGCGTTAACAATTGGTGCCGGAGGCATCATGCTTTCATTACCATCGTATTCCACTACAAGTTGAAGCAGGTATTTTTCTTTTCCTTGAGTAGTTTTTACCCATGAAGATAGTAGTAGCAAGATAAATTAAAAAACAAGGACTGACCTTGACAAACAAGTTACAAGATTTATCTTGGTTGCTCCGTTGACATAAATACTTAGCATAACCTGAAATACTTCCACACCGAAGGAAAACAAAACTTCAATAGCTAGATGATTATCCTCATTTCCAGTAACACAAGTGGACCTTAAAGTCACGCCCAATGAATAGATGACGGTGCTTTTATACACATGTAAATTTGTGTCATGAAAGTTTCTCGTGAAACAGTTGTAAGCTAAAAAATTTGTATGTTCAGATTAAATTGCATCAATATTACTTTCTAATTATTTTTTCAACAATAATCCAGCATGTATCACAGCCATCTCTACCATAGATCTCAAATAGTGTTAGCTCAAAAAGGAAAATTGGAAATTTTGATGTTACCCGAGAAAGAAGCTTTCCACAAAAGAACCCAAATACTAGGGGAGGTGATGAACAATTTTTGAAATACAAGTTGTCCTAGATCATTCATGCAGTAAAACTTGTTTTGAAGAATGTTTACTAAAGTTCCTGCATACACAAGGGGTGTAAGCAAGCAAAGGCCTAAACAGACGGCTTTGTCATTTTGAGTTGAGGTTAATTACTCTTCATTTATTTGGAAATCAAACGAGTTTGAATAATGTTTATGTAACGGGATGCATAGATAATCAAGCACAAACATCCCAACAGAGTTTAATTACGTTAATGAACAAGATTTTCTATTGGTCAACAAAGTCTTGATAATATCTTGAAAACATACAAGATAATTGACTATTTAGTAGTTTAGTTATTATTCATTAATCAGTAACATCATATCTGCCAAATCATTCACTATCATCGTTTCAGTCGATTTGTGCTGAAAAAAGTTAGTCCTTCAATAAACTCGACTAGTGAAAACTAAATAAATTATTTAACAAGATGAATGCTTGACTATATAGAACTCATCTCACCAAAGTATAAGCAAGCTTAGCTAAAGCTTGGCTTTCGATTGTTAATAAAACAAGAAATAAACAAGCTCAAACATCAATTTATAAGCCAGATTTTTGTACAACGTTGATTAAAAAATATTCAAAATAAAACAATAAATAAAAAAGCTCAAACATCAATTTCTAAGCAAGATTTTTGTCCAACGTTGATTAAAAATTATTCAAACAAAGTTTAAACAAGACCATGCTTACCTCAAATCGGCTTGTTTATAGATTTAACTTGCAAAATATGTTCCTCAAAAGATTTTATGCCACACATCTTTGAAAAGAGACTACTACCTAAATGAAGTAAATGATAACACAAATCAAACTTAAAATTTATAATTCCCTCTTTTTTTTTGGCGTGTGGACTTTAGCAGACAAAAACTATATCCATCTAAAGCACCAATCATTGAACACAATTACTTCATTGTTATGAGGCGAAAATGCTTTAAAATGGCTAAAAAAACCAATATCAAGGAAAACCGAACGGAAGTTGGTTTGAGCTATGCCAACGCTAGCTCGAGGCTGAAGCATGGTGGTAAAAAAGCAGATGATGAAAATTATATGATCAGTATTTTGTTCCATCTCAAAAGACAAGGGCATGGTGAAGTATTGCAGACTAGCTCAAATGGTATACTCAATTTCTTACTTGACAAAAGTTTTAACAACAACAACAACATCAACCCTTTATCCCACTCCGTGATGTTGGCTACATGAATCTTTTTTTTTTTCTGCATTGTGTCATGTTAAGAGTTAAATTTTCATTTAGATCTGGTAAAAAAGGGTCTCTTCTAATATTTTCTAACCAAGTATTTTTAGGTCTGTCTACACCTTTCTTAACACAAATCAAATCTAATACATCTACTCTCCTAGCAGGGTCATCGGAAGGCCGAGATTTTCTGTGGCCAAACCATCTAAGACATCTCTCTCTAATCTAATCTACCGTTGGAGCTACTCCAACCTTTTCATATATAAGCTCATTTCGCATGTTGTCTCTAAGAGTAAAGCCACTCATCCCCCTGAGCATCCTCATCTTTGCAACACTTAACTTAATTGTATGCTTCTCTTTTCATGGCTAACACTCTCTTTTAAAGCATTGCAGGTCTCACCACCATCTTATAGAATTTTCCCTTAAGTTTGAAGGATACTTTTCTATCACACAACAGGATCGATGCATTACTCCACTTCAACCATCCAACTTGAATTCTACTAATAATATCCCCATCTATTTCACCATCCCTCTAGGCAATATATCCGAGATATCTAAAATCTATACTCTTATTAATGATATGATCGCTCAAAGTCACAATCCCTCCGAGATATCTAAAATGTATACTCTTATTAATGATATGATCGTTCAAAGTCACAATCCCCCCATTAGATTTGTTACTGCTAAAATTATACTCCATGTATTCGGTTTTAGATCTCAAATGAAAATCTTTATTAAAGTTGACCTCCATAATTCATGTTTACCTTCAACTCCCTCTATAGTCTTATCAACAAGAAGACTATCATCAGCAAAAAGATATAGGCTTAGCATTGATCCATAATGTAATCCAATCGATATAGAAAAAAACTTGGTCAAATAACCTTGTGTATGAACACAAGTAACAGTTCCTACATATCATCTATGATGCACTGACCCTCCTCTTAAAGAGGGAATGTCGTTTCGGACACGAACACACGCCCAACACGGCGAGACACTTGTCGGACATGTCATACACGTGTCCGATTAAAATAATGTTTAAATTTAAATGGACATGCATGCCCTAATTTTTTACGATAAAATTATTTTTAATTATAATTTTTTTATATTTTAATATTTACTAAATCAAACAAAATTTCGCATTCGCTCATTTATGCATCAATTACCATGCCATATTGATGCAATTTTTAGTGACATGCAGTAAAAAGAATTTTAATTATGTCTGGAAGATCTTTATGAGTATGTCTTATTGGTGCATCTTGTAATCTTTGTTGTGCATGCCTGAAGTACCTAAATCATTTTTCGCTTTTTTTATATTTAACATTTAATACTCTCACAATTCTCCCTATATAATTATTTGTCAACTTATATGTGTGAAAAGACTACGAATGATTGTACTAGACATTTTGTACTAAATATTTTATGTTATAAGCTAGACAACTTATCATGACATTAATTTATTAATGTTTGTCATTTCTAATATGATGTTATATTAATTTCTATATACTATATAAAAAAATTGTAATGTCGTGTTCGCGCCATATCCATGTCAAACATTTTAAAAAACAGTCGTGTCCCGTGTCCGTGTCTGAGCATCATATCATATTGTTAATGACTCGAACATAAGCATTAATAACTCATTTCTTTTCCAGAACTCTCCATAGCAATTCTCTTAAAACTTTCTCATATGTTTTTTGTGAATAAAAAAATTTATATGTAGATCTTCCTTATTCTCTCTATACTTCTGAATTAAACCTTTCAATAAATATAATTAACCTAACCGACATGATTCCTAATTGATTTTGAGAAAAATTAGTATCACGACGTAACCTATGCTCAAAAACACTCTCCCATAGTTTAAAATATGACACATTAACTTATTCTATAATTCGTACACTCTTGTGCATCACATTTATTCTTAAAATTATGAATCAGCACACTCCTCTGCTCATCTAGAATCTTTTTAGTCTTCAAAATAATATTGAAATGTTTCGTAAGCTAAGAAATTTTTCCATTTCCTAAGCATTTCCACACCTCTATTGAAATATCATCATGTCCAATAACATTTTCGAAATTCATTTTCTTTAAAGTCTCTCTAACATTGGTTTTACTAATGTGATAAAAATAGAAATCTCTACTTTCATTTAGGGGGCTAAGATCATCAAATTCAATAATATTTTCACAATCTTCATTAAAAAGTTTAATAAAATATCTCATTCACTTGAATTAAATAATTATTTCTCCTACCTCTTTGTTTGGCTAACTTATACATCTTTCTCCCTCATAAGTATCTAATCTATTATATAAATTATTTAAAACTAAATTACTTGTATCACATATTGCTTTCTTAGACTCCTTATAGGCCTATTTATATCTTTCCAAATTTTTTAAGTTTTTATATTTAAACTAATTTTTATAACGAAACTTTTTATCTTTTATTGCACATTTTGATTCCAATGCCAACTATTTTTATTATCAGGAGAATTTTCTTTTGATAATCCAAGTAGATATTTTGCAATAACCATAATATCACCAGAGACTTTTTCCCACCTAACATTAGTTTCCTTATATACAATCAAAATCTTAAGATGTTTAATATTACTAGAAAAAATTATTTTGTTAGTATTTTTTAAATGCCTCCATCTAATCCTATAAAAATATTTTATTTTATTTTTCATATTCTGTCATTTCATCTTAAAGTCCAAATTTATACGCGATGTTGAAAACATTAACTTTTACTCAAAATAACTTTACAATCCTTATAATTTAAAATGTCTATTTTTATTATAAAAAATAATCAAAGTTTTACTATATTCATTCTTATAAATGATGATATGCTCATCTCTTTTCTTAAATAAAGTGTTACCAATTGCAAAATCATAAAGTAAAGAAAAATCTAATATGGTCATACTACCATTATTAGTGTTCCAAACTCATAACCACTATGAATAATTTTAAAATCATCTACCTCTCTACCAATATGTTCATTTAAATCTCCTTCAATAAAGATTCTTTCTTCAATAAGTATCTTTTATATTAATTCTTCTTAAGTCATTCAAAATTTTTAATTTTTAACGTATATCCAAATCTACTTGAGGAGCATAAACACTTATAATACTAATAATCTTAGCATCAACATCAATCTTTAAAGCTAAACATTATTTTTCAAACTCTTATCTATAATCACACCTATACCATTTTTAGTACAACTCTACCAAAATACAATAGTTTAAATTCTAAACTATCAATCTCTTTAGTATTTCTCTCCAACCTATTTAATTTTCTGAATAAATAGAATATTTATTTTTCTATGAATCATAATATCTATTAATTTTATTTTTTTAGAGTAAAATAATTTTTTTAAGGGTATACTCTTTTTCCACATGATATTCAGGTTTGAAGATAAATTTAAATAGTCTTAACAATTGTAATACACAAGAAGAGTAGAAACCAACCTATCTGATTAATGGTCATGCTATATGCATATTTAGAAGTTGAATCCATGCATAAAAAAAGAGTACAACATTTTCAAGATTAAGGTGCACTTGTCATGGAATATGTCATGCTCAAAATTATAGTTCTTGTTAACTACTCTATATAAAAGGACAACTAAAAATAAAAGGCCTAACATAAAGGCATAGCGTGCAAGTTGAAATTAGAGGGAATGACAAGATATGTGTTTATCTAAAGCATGGTTTAAAAAATTATTCTAGGCGTACGCATTGAGGTGCACCTCGAACTGAGGCCTGTAAAGAGCGCCTTGAGGCATAAGCCTCACTAGTAGTAGTGAGAATTATGTTTTTTTTAATGAGGCGTATGCGTCGAAGCTTAATGCCTCGAGGCGTTTTAAGACAGCACCACATTCTGGTTAAATTTTATAATTTTTATTAAATATTATTATTATTATTAAATATATTTTATTATATTACAGAAAAAGAATGAACCATTCTCCTTAGATGGTTTCGTCACATAAAACAGAGGCCTTCTGATGACCCAGTTAAGAAAGTATATGTATTAGATTTGACTTGTGTTAAGTAGGGTAGAGGTTGACCTAAAAAAACTTGGTTAGAAAATATTAGAAATGACCTTTCTTTATTAGATTTAAATGAGAATTTAACTTTTAATATGGCACAATGGAGAAAAAGGATTCACGTAGCCGACCCACATAGTGGGATAAAGGCTTGATCTTCTTGTTGTTGTTGTTGTATACAAAAAGAATAAACTAATTAGTATAGAACGAATGAACAAACTTGAATAGTTATATTATGTTTAATAAAAATTTAAAGATAAATATGTCAAATTAATTTGACGAATAATTGATTATGATGAAATAAATCCTTTCGATAATATATCACTCGATGATGAATGGGTAATACCAAAAAATATTGAAATATTTAAAGTTGAAGATGGAGGAATGTCTTTGATGATGAGGAGAATGAATATATAAATGTTAATATTAAAATGACTACTGAATTGGTAATAGCTTTTACTTCATAGTCATTTTAAAGAAAGTAGTAAAGTGGGGTTTGACTTTAAAAATAAATCAAATTGTGATTTAAATATAATGGATTATTTTCTTGTGTTATTAATTTATTGCTTATTTTATATTACATTCAATCTAACGTTAACAGATATAGGGAGTTTAAAAAAAATATTATAATCGAAGAAGGTTTTGATTAATGATACAGAATTTGAGAATGATATAACTATTACATATGAAAGTTATTACGAAGAATATGAGAATAAGCATAAGGCTATCGTGGATCCTAATCTTTATCGTTTATTTAAATTTTAAATGAGTATTTACTTTGAATCTTGGTTCAAACTTTTTATTTTATAATAATATTTAATATTAAAATTTATAGTTTATATCATTATGATGATGAGTCAAATAAATATATTAATGAATTATTTTATTTTTATCATTTTTATGACTTATTTATATGTTATTGAGTTTTTTCTTTTTTCTGTTTTAAGGCTTGCCCCTTGATCTGCCTCGAGGCTTACGCCTCGCCTCGCTAAAACAAAACGCCTCAATTCCTAATTTCGCCTTTGTAAACCTTTATCTAAAGTACAACTACTACACAAAAGTTGTTAAAAGGGTTATTATAAGAATGAATGAGCATATTTTTGCTCTCACAAAATGTTGCATCACATGCAAAGTGCTTAAGGAGGTGAAAAACAAGATGCGTTCGTATATGAAGGCAAGAATGCGCATTTAGCACAATGATAGCATGATGATAGAATAGATGTCAAATTTTATTATGATAGTGGGGGTCCATTGGCAAGGATCCCTCATTTTCTTTGTTAAAAATGTTAATCCATGTGAGGCACACTACATAAAATTAATTCTTGAGAAATTTGATGACTTGCGTCAACACAAGAATGGCTTAAGTAAATCAATGAAGATCACTAAGTACATCTAAAGCCTTTGCATGTTTGTATTTGATAAGAAAATCTTCTAAAAAGTACTCTTATGGCTTATTATAACAAGATTTATTACATACTATTTGAATATACAAAACATGTTGGAAGCAAGGCACCTTTTGAAGCTATGTTCACTTCCACACAACGGCTTAACCTGCTTGGGCAAAAAAATCTGAAAGAAAAGAAGTTAGAAATATTACTAAGGATGGTTATGCATTTAGTCTCTGGTCTTGCAGTGTGCTGCATCAACCATTATTAAATGTTTGTTTTTAAGATGTTAATATATTACTTGTTACTTTACACAATTTGTTACTTCTTAAATGTTAGAATATTAATATGTTAAAAGGTTATGATTTTAGTATATTCCTTATTTTATACTTTGATGTATGTACAAGACTTATTATTTTGTGCAATTTATTACTTATGAGGCTTACGCCTCAAAACTCCTTGAGACACGTCTTTTTTCATAGATAAAAAATACCTTAATATCGAATAGCGCAATTTTAAACATCGCCAAAAACATTATTATTTGCATCAAAGGTTCTTGAAATTTGATTTAAATTATTTTGGCAAATACAATGGAGAGAAAAAATGCACCAAAGTAGATAGAATTAAATTGAAAGGGTAAGAAATCCCAACTAATCACACCATTAAAAAAATAAAAAAAAATAAAAAATCTTAAAGAAATAAAAGTTTGCATCACATGAAACACTTAACAAGCATTATAGTTAAGAACCTCGGATGCTCAAAGCAATTAATCAGGAAAAATTAGGATGAAGTGTACCGATGTCACTTTCTTATATATCTGCGCTGCATTTGTACATTCCACGTAGGGGTATTCAAAGGATACAAGCTCTAACAAACACATCCCAAATGCATATACATCAACAAGCTCATTATACTCCTCTTCGTAAAGTTCAGGAGCCATGAACTCTGGAGTACCTAAGAAAGAAAGGAAAATTGAGAGTTTGGTTCAGCCTAGTTTTCAACAGAAACAGAAGCAAAACTAGCATCACCAAAGATTTTTCCACTCACCAATCACACTATGGGCTGAGTGACATTGGCGTAGAATGGCTGCCAATCCAAGGTCACCAATTTTGACCTCACCTTGATTTCCATTGACAAATATATTGTCACATTTAAGGTCTCTATGAATAATAGGGGGATCATGACTGTGAAGGTATAGAAGGCCACACAAAATCTGCCTTGACCAATTCTTCAATGCTCTTAAGTCAACATGCTTATGTTTCTTACGATACCTAGAAGGATTTAAAAGAATTAATCATTAAAATCCGTAAACACAAAAAGAGTAACAGAATTCACAAGCGGAAAACCAAGCACAAAGGAACTGACTGGCGCAAGGTCCCTGAGGTAAAGACCTCAGTGATGAAATTTATGCTGTCGTGTTGCGTGTCTACCCATGAGCTATAAAATTTAATTATGTTCTTGTGCTTTAGAGTTTTTAGCAAATGAACTTCGGAATAGAGCCTTTCCAAATCATCAGCATTTTGTAGAACATCAGCAAGCTTCACCTGATTCCAAGCAACCTCTATTCCCTCTCCCTCATCAAAAGCCTTATAGCTGTCATCGATCAGACAGGAATCAGAGAAAATAACTTAATGCAATTTTTCAGCATTCCTAAACAGAAAATAAAAAAAACAAAAAATAAATAAAAAAACTACGAAAAAAGGAGCATTTCATAACGTCATAAGAATACACTGTCTTGAATGCGCCCTTTCCCAGAACTTCATGGTACTGCAAGAAAAGAAAATAGAAATTCATTATTTAAAAACCTAAGATCAAATGAAAAAGACAAACATCACAAAAAGGCCCATTTCTTAAATCTAACACATCAAACGAGAAGAATTAAGCAAAGAGGCTCATGAATTTATAGGAATTTTTTTTGCAATCAAATGTGTCAATTCAGATTCCGCACCCGTCCGTATCGACCTGTGGGATCGACTTCGATGAACTCGTTTTCCTTTTCGTCCCATCCAGTCTCTGATGACAAATCCCCATCCATTTTTATCTATTCCGATGCCCAAGACCCAAATTTCTTCAAAACCCTAGTTCCAGAATAGAAACCAACAGAACTGCGGTTTTGCGTCCACTTGGAATCCTCAAACCAGATCACTTCAGATATGGTGTTATTCTAGAAAGGGCCGATGGGTTTTCTGAAGAGAATCCAGACGGAGTGGGAGCTAGCTCTATTGATCTCTATGGATGGGCGGAAAGAGTAGAAGAAGAAACGGTGCGAAGGAAGAACCTCTGGTTGCATATTAGGAACATGAGAGCGAGCGGAAGTTTGGGCCAGTTTTGTTTTCTTTTTTTAATTTCAATCATTTTGATTTTTAACAAAAATAATAAACGAGCAGATAATATATTTATTCGAACTTTTTTTTTAAAATTAAATTTAAGGTGGTTTACTTTAAATAATTAAATAAATTTATTTTCTGAAATTAAAAAACACTTTTAGAGTTATTTGCAATTGTCCTGAAGATTAATATTTGCGATTGTTCGGAAGATCAATATTGTATTATTATTATTATTATATATATATATATATATATTGAAGAGAATGCTAAGTTGCATTAAAAATAAAGCAAAGGAAAGTCAAACAGCCCTATCCTAATCCATCACATTCCTTCTTCAAAATGAAGAAAAGGAATGTGGGATATCCACATTATTAAGTTCTTCCCAAATAAAACTCTTTTTGCAAGCCAAATTAGCACAAAAATCAGCTAATTAGTTACAAAACCTATTTGCAAATGAAAAAAGAACCTGGTTAAAGTCTTGAATGATAGCAAGATCCTCTTCAATTCTTCCATTATTCTTCCAATTCTTCAAAGCTAATTGTATATATATTCACAAGTACTTAATAAGTATTTCGGATCGTAATGAAAGAACTTATGCCTAGTGAGACCCATTGGTCAACTCGCCTGACAATTGGAAGGCGCTACTCACTATGACACATAGGAGGACTTGCCCAAATAATTTTCAATCGCTACTTGCCTAGGCCTACAAAAGTAGGTCATCTCTCATAAAGACAATCGAGGCTCATCACATAGCAAACAACTCTTCAAATGGCACATAAAAGTTAAACATTTGGGTCACTTGTTCTCATTCAAATCTCCTTATTCACACTCACAAGGCTCTTTAATAGGAAAGCATCTACTCATTGGGCCCTCCGGTAGCCTTTCCACGTCCATCAAACCTAGTGCTCTCCCTTCCCACAACTCACTAACCTCTCTCTTCCAAGGCAATTTGAGGCCCTCAACATAGGTTACCAACAACCCAAACAAGCTGCCTGTCGTAGGTTCCTCAGCACAACATCCGCTAATAAACTTTCCAAAGCATACTCATCTAAACCTATTTGGCACAACTAAACTTGCCCTAAAGACATCATTAAAAGTAATTCAGTGTTGCCTCCTCTAGCCAATTAAAAGATGACATTTGTTTATGGTAGTTTGTACTAAGACTCACTGATTCAATGTATTTTTTTTTTATTCCTTCATAATGTCGCCTTTTTAGCAGCCCTTAGATCTCTATAAATAAAGAGTGAAAAGATGCATTTTGAATATCTTGGATCGACTAAGATTTTAAGCCCCTTAAGCATTTTCTTTATATATTTTTTCATGGTAAACTACTTTCTCTCCATTTTCACATAGGTTCCAAGTCACCGCATACAGAGTTAGTGCTAGTAGGGACGGGTTTCATCCATGAGTAGATTGGAATTCAACATCATTTAAGGTGTAGTGAGCATGGATTGATACCAATAATGAAAATACAAGCCCAAATTCGTCAATCCAGGTAACCCTGAGCCTTAGTGAACATGGAGAACCCCAACTACACTACTTGATTAAAATTAATGAAGATGTAAGAGAGGTTGATAAAAATGATCCAAGATGCCCTAAGAGGGCTACCGAAGGGGAGCACAGTGGGGCAACACCATTGAAGGATCATCTAACTTAATAGTTTGTTGCAAGAGACTAAATAACATAGCACTAACATCAACACTAGTTTTCGATCCCACTAAAAAGTGAATGATGAAGAAAATACAGCCCACCAATATGGCGAGTTAGAAGGACTGAACCCTAGTTGACTAATGTTTTCTCAAGGGATATTATAAATGTAAGCATGCCTCTTAGTTTCATGGTGCCACATTGAGAATCCTATAAAGGCAAAACTTATGTAGTGGACAATGTGGCCACCTTTGAGTTTTGACCACCTTGCTGGATATTGATAATTCCCTCAAGTGTTGTTTATTCTTCACAACACTTAAGAAATCTATGTTAAGTGAAAATTATGTAGTATTTTTATTCTGTTGATTAAAATAAGCAAATGCATTTTAGTTGACGTTAAACAAGAATATCTCAAGAAAAGAGCAAAACTATAAAATTTAGAACCAACGCCGTAGCATTGAAATTATCAGAGCCATAGTATACTCAACACCATGGCATAGTTTCACGACATTGCAGCATCAAAGTCTTTAAAGAAATATATTGCCTCAACGGAACAAAGGTTCATGCCTTATTGCAAGACAATATTGTAAAGCCATAAATCAATATCACAACATCAGAGTCTCAAGATAATTGCACAATAATTCAACACTAGAATGTTGACCTCGAAAGCACTACTACACCATATGGCATACTATGGGAATAATTATGTAAATACCTATGTAATTTCTAATTTAAAATCTTGTGATTTAAAATATCGATAATGTTTTTCAATATTTCTTTCTCTTTAATTAATTTATGTAATGGCCATATATAAAATTTAACATTTAGTGTGATGCATTGCCTTGATGGATGAATGCTATAATAAATTTGAGAATTAAAATGGAATTTACATGCCTAGACATAGTTAGCTTAACATTCTAGGACCTATGATGATTGAATAATTGTAGGATGGCCATAAACATTTCTTTACATCTTTAAAAGCTTGATAAAGATCTAGAGATTCATATGCTTTGATTCACAATTAGCATTTGAGAGTCTACTTAGGAGAACATAGGCTATTTTACTATTATTAGTCCAAAATACTTTATATTAGTATATTCACTGTTTCCTGCACTTCTCATTCAAAATAGAGATTACTGTTAATTTTGTTGCATAAAATAAATTAAGTTCCTTGTGTAAAAAGTACTAGAAAAAATTGTGAGTAGCATAGTATTTTCTTATGGGATCGACACTCTCTTAAAAAATTTTATTTCTTGATTAGCTTGTACACTTGCATTTTTATTTGGGTTGTATCCAATTCAATATAGACTAAACAAAGCATACCACCTAACCATCACATATAAACACCACATCAAGTTTTTGGCATTGTTATTGAGGAAACAACGTATGTATTCTTTTGTAATTATTTCTATATTATTCAAAGAGCTATAAAGTTTAAAATTATGTTTATTTGTTGTTTTCATTTATTACTTTTAGTTTATTTTATTATATTTTACCTAATATTTATGGTTAGTTTATGCATAATAGAACTAGTAAGGGACCCTTATTATTCGACTTAGAACTAGAACTATCACATTCAAAAATTATGAAATCTAAAAAGACGTTAGCATTAGGAATGGTAGAACAAAAACTAGATTAGAACCATCTTAGATCTCTTAGAGAGTATATCAATCTTTTAGAAGATGGAATTCCTAAGAGTATCAACCGACCTACTATCTCCATAATCCAAATGATTCATACTTCATAGTTTGAAGGAACTCCTATTAAGGATCTCAACTTACACTTAGTTAATTTCCTACAAATTTGCACAATATTCAATTATAATATAGTAAATAATGGTGCTATTAGACTTCATCTATTTTCATTTTCTCGAAGGTACAAAGCTAATATGTTGTTGAATTCCTTTCCCACGAGCACCATAACCACATGGAATGAGTTGGAACATAAGTTTCTAACAAAATATTTTCCTCCATCTAAAACTACTGAGATTAGGAACAATATAAAATCTTTTTCCCAATTTAATGGAGAATTAATTTATTAGAACTGGAAAAGACTTAAGGAGATGTTTAGAAAGTGCCCTCATCATATAGAGGCTGAATGTGGATTTAGACAAGGCTGTCCTTTGTCTCCATTCATGTTTATCATGTGTTCTCAATTGCTAACAGAAGAATTTGGGAATATTGGAAAGAATATTGGTATTAAAATCAATCCAAATGCCCCTATCATTTCTCATTTAATGTATGCAGATGACATTTTGATTTTTTCTAAAGCTAATAAGATTTGCATAAAGAGGGTGAACAAAATCTTGAAGAACTACTGTAGTTGGACTGGACAGAAGATCAACTACAAAAAATCTGCAGTGTTATTCAGCAAATCGATGAAAAGAAGAGAATGTAAAGGCTTAATCAAAGTGATTAACATGAATATGGTTAAAGAAATGGAGTATTTGGGAGTTAAGATTGCTCTTAGGAGATTGGTAAAGTCTGATTTCTATAAAAATCATTGTGAAAACAGCAGCTAAAATTAATATTTGGGGATCTAAACACATAACTTTAGCAGGTAAAATTTCATCGATCAAAGCTTCTATTCTATCTCTTCCTACTTATCTTTTTAGTCATTCTTTGATCCCTTTGGGGATTCTTTATGAAGTAGAAAGAATGTGTAGAGACTTTCTTTGAAATAAAAGAGATGGTAATAAGGGTATGCATTATGTTTCTTGGAATGCATTATGTAAACCAAAGAAGATAAGAGGTTTTGGTATTCTATCTTTGGTTGAAAGGCTAGGACCTTTGAGATCCAGATATGCTTTGAACTTTATTAACAATCCTGATTCTCTTCTTAATAAAACGCTAAGTGCCAAATATGGAAAAGTGCTATGGAAAGAAGCTAACAGTTTTAGTCACTCTTCAACGTGGAAAATAATATTAAATGGTGCAAAATTTTTGTTACCTGTTATGAGATGGACAATATCAAATGGATATTACATTGACACCTTCAAAGACAGCTGGATTCTAGATAAGACTTTGGATAGGTGGCCGACTTTTGTTACTGTTATTGGTCCTGATTTCAGCAAAATTTTGGACTTCCATTACAGATGGGAAATGGGATATGCTGAAATTAAAGGTTTGCTTTGGAGAAAGTCTAATAGAATTAATCAATTATATTCCTATCCAACCAGAACAAACAGAAGATAAATTGGAATGTATTAAAAAGTTATCAGGTAAATCGATCGCAACATCAGTTTATGAAAAAAAAAATTGAAAACTTTGATGTAGATGCAGATTATAAATGGAGAAAGGATCTAAAACTGAAACCAAAGATAGATTTGTTTTGGTGGAGATTAAGCAAGAATGGTATTC